CTGGCCCCGATGCCCGCACCGGGCAGAGACCGGGAGCGGCCCGCCAGGCCCCCGGGGTTGCGGGACGGGGATCAGGGGATGAGGCCGCGCGGCCTGCGCTCCGGGTGTCCCCCTCCCAGCCCCCCGGGCCCGCTGCGGCTGGTCCCCTAGGCCTGGGGTGGGGGGAGGCGGGGGTCCCCGGAGAGGGCCCCGGCCTCCCGGCAGCACTAACTTCTCAGCCAGCAGCTCCTCTATTCTCCTTCTTTTCTTCTCCCTAAAAGAGAGAATAAAAGAAGGGTCAGCATCGCGCTACACACTGGGCGCCGCGAGGGGAGGGGGGCGAGGGGACGGGGCGGGGGGTGAGGGGATCCCGGGTGGCGGCGGCAACCGCCCACCGCCGCGCTCTCTCACAACCCAGCCCAGCCCTGCGCGTCTGCAGAGCCCCGGTACTTACGGCTCCTCGCCATCCGCCATATTGTTCTCCGCCTCTTCCCAGGTGCCCCCGCGCGGCGGGGCGGGGAGGAGAGGGACAGGCAAAGTGGGGAGGGGCGGGGCCGGCGAAGCGGGGAGGGGCGAGGCCAGGAACTGAGCCGGCAGGGAGGGGCGAGGCTGACTGCTGTCGGGCTCCCGTGGGCTTTAAAGCCTTGCCCTGTAATTATAATCTTAATTACCTACGCTTAATTAGGTAAGTCTTATACAGTGCATAATGTTGCTCTGCAGCGTGAAAATGTAGATAACACATTATGCGTTTATACAAATTATATGTTAATACGTAATTATATAAAATATTGGTATATTCTATGAAAAACTCCTGAAGAACCATCCCAATATGCCACAGCTTTCCTCCGGGGGCAAAGATCAAGGAAAATTTTCACTTTCTGCTTTTCAGGATGGTTCCAAAGTCTTTGCCTTTATAAGTACTCACTTGAATAATAAATTTATCTAAATCAGTTTACAGTGGTAGGGTGGGAGATTATTTTCTTTGTACAAATCAGCATTAATATTTTCATGTCACATTCTGTTTGATAAGTTCAGCGGAAACGAAATGACTTTTAAAAACTTTTTTCCTGAGACAAATGTGTATATTTAGATACAAAGAAAAAAGTATAAAGGAAAACAATCACAAAAATCAAAAAATAAAAGTTTCAATTATTTTCTTCTAGAGTCAGAAATACAAATATACACTGTGAATCTGAATGGCTGGGTAGAGGGAAATGATCATGTTCAAAAATGTAGATATATACATACACACACATCTCCTTTTATGGAGTGGGACAAGAATGAGATTTGGAATCAAAAGTAACTGATTTTAAATTCTTCGCAGTTATGACCTATGAGACCCTTAGACACTTCTATTTCTTCATTTGTAAAGTAGGCATAACACTATTCACCTTGTGAGACTGGTAATTAAGTCAAATCCAGAGTGGCTCTGAAAATACAGTTTCTGATCAACGTCACTGGGGAATTTTTTTACACAAATTTTCAGCCCCCCCTCCTCCCCCACCCCCACCACCCTCCTCCCCACCCCCGTCCCTGGCCTTCTGCAAAGCCTGGGGTTATTCTCCCTGGTAAAGTTTGAGAGCCACTGAAATGGGGTACATAAAGCCTGATGGGTACTCAGTAAATGTAGCTGCCGTTACTACACTGTGATATTTAATCTCCTCTTGTCCTAGTTTTCAGTGAACCTTAAGGAAAGCTTGTCCTTTATGGTCCCTCAATTAGGTTCAGTTCAATAGCATTCATTGAGCTGAAAGTCAGTGCCAGGCAGTGAGTGTGGGAGTAGAGTTCGCAGTCCATATCAAGAGATACCAGCCTCCTTCTGCATCATGTGTCTCAGCATCAACTATGAAACCATTTTTTCTTGGCCAGACAACTCCACAGATGGTTTCACTGAGGATTTAACCTCAGTGCTTATCAAAATGGGCTCTTGTAGTCTGAACCCCCAACAATACTGGATACCCTTTGATTAGTGGTAGTGAGCATTACAACTGTCTCAGATGGCGAAAAACAGCAGGCACCTTAAGGCCACCTAGTCCAGTCTCACCCATTTCACAGGGGAGGAATCTGAGGCCTAGGGATAGAATACAGCTAGCAGATGAAGAAGTCTGCAAAGGCATTGGCCCTGCATCTGCTTGCTTTGAGACTAACACCCTGACTCACCATGGTGGTATTTTGATAAATGACACCAGGCGCTCTCACTGGCTTAGACTGATTGACGGATTACAAATAGCCATCTGCCCTTGCCAGGAATGAAAGCAACAGAGACATGCAAGCAAAACCTTCAACAGATTTATTTTACTTCAAATGGAACAGATCATAAACAATTAGACTATCTGCCATGGTTTTTAAACAGACAGTCTGAATGATCCTATCTAGACACACCATCCCATTATAAAAGCCCCACGAAGCAGGACTCGGCTTCCCATGCCTGTAATCCTGTCTACTTGGGAGGCTGAGGTGGGAGGACTGCTTGAGCCCAGGAGTTTAAAACCAGCCTGGGCAACATAGCAAGACCCTGTCTCTAAAGATAGTAATAAATTAAAGCTCCAGGAAGACCTCTACAGTTAATCTGACCCCTCCCTCCCCGGAATGAACACTAACAAAGAGCTGCTACTAATAGCATTTCAAACAGTTACTGGAAAAAGTAATGACTCATTATGTGTTCATTTTTATTTAAAATAATTTAACAAAGGTAGAAATATTTAGAGAAAAAAAAAATCTCTCACACCCCAAAGAGAGACACAGGGTTAACATTTTGGGAGGGAGGCAGAAGGGAATCATGCTATAAACATCTTTCTCTGTCTTTTTAGAATTTCTTTATTTATGTTTAAACCTCTTTAGAGAAATAACTATTTCTTGGGTATCAATTGTCTGTGATCAAGGAGTAATCATATTGTTACTAATATACTCTTGACAGCTTTTGGTCATGCAGTTCTGAGCAGTTGGAAGATAAAGTTCTTGGTCATAGCTTCTAATACTCATCAATCTCACCAACAGGTGTGGGGCCTCACTGGAGTTCCCACTTTCATCTTGACCAAGATGATTTACTCAGCTTGTACACAGTGATGCTGCTTGACATTCTGAAGCCCTGGGGAATTCCTCCACACCCTCTGACTTCCTGTAACTGATAACTGAGGCTCGGTGCATCTCTATTTAGCACTCCTCTCACCATCTCATATTTAACTAGTGTTTCCACTGGATTGCAGGAGTTTTGAAGGCAGAGCAGGATTACATCTTTCTCCTCTTTAAAAAAAGAAAAAATACCCCACAGTGCTTTCACAGAGCCTCAAAAGAACTCGAAATATTTGTTGGCATTGTACTGAATGTTCTCAGCCTTTTCCCCCTACCCAGATACAACCACCACAATAAAATTGGAGCAAGGTAGAGAAAAGTCAGTAGATGTTTATAATGAAAGCATAGAAAACAAATCAGATTAAAGCACTATTAACAGCAGACATGAATCGTGGGCTATCCTATTACTAATAACAATAATAGTAACATATAACTGTGAACCTTTATTATACACTAAGCATTTCCTATACATTCCTTCACTTATCCTCACCTATGTGGCAAATGTTCCATTATCCCCACTTTACACATGAAGCCACTGAGGCTGGGAGAGATTAAGTAATTTATCCAAAGTCACCTGCCAGAGAGGAAGGAGCTGGGACTCTAATTTTGCTTTCTCTGATTTCACACCATCCCATTTTTCCAGAATCAAGAACACATGAGCACTCAGGAATATTTCACATTTTAAACTTTATTCAAAAAGCAGCATATAAGATATATCTTAGTCAGCATTAATTCCATGCGAACACCAAACTTTCCTAAACACCAGTAGTAGTAGTAATTTCTTAGAGTCACTGTAAGCTCCTTAACTGTCTTCTAAATCAATAAGGAAAATTAAATTATGTTTTCTAGACTTTGCATTAGTATATTGCATTACTTTCCAAGTTTTCAAAAATTGGTGATCTGAGTAGAGTGAATTCACCTTGTCTAAGCCACTTATGGGCTTAGAGACTCTGTTATCTTAGAAATCTTCACCTTAGAATTCTACCTATTACATTATACAATTAAACTACTTTTTTTCATGCATTATACCAATCAGCCCCTTAACTGAAAAAAGATGACCCTTTGGAAGCTTAGAAGAGAATTTACAATGAATACATCTTTTGCCAGTTCTTTGGGCTGGGATACTAAACATCACCTTATCTATGAATATACTGTGGTCCCTCAGTGAAAGTTGTCACCAAATATTGCAATAAAACTAAGAAAACTTCTGAAGTGGAATGCATATTTCTGCCCAGAAAATGCTAGATGCATAACAGCTAGTTCACTGCAGACAACTGTTTGCTTTAAAATGTAAGCAACGTGCCCAGCTGAGGACTGAAGTGGCCAGAGTGCCTACTTTATCACTTTATCAGAATGGCACAGCAGTCCAACAATTTAGCCTCGAGAGAACAGAGATGGAGAATAAAGAAGAGAAGTGAAAAAAAACAAACCAGCCCTTCTGTTCTATATGACCTTCTTTCCCGTTTTGCCAATCTGATTTCACACATAGTGACTCATGGTGAAACAGAGAAAACATGGGAATTGCATTCAGATGTGTAGAGCTTAGTAAGACTTAGTTTTCAACAGCAGCTCATTCTCCAGTAACACTATAGTTGCCTTCCATTTCATTTCACTTAGATTGGCATCTGCACAGCTGCCAAAATTGTTCTCTGTAAGTCAGAGAACACACTCCCAGGTAAACCTTCAAAAAAGGTATTTCAAAGGAGGCAGCTGGTATTCGGACTGCTAGAGAAGGCATTGCCACCTCGCTTCAGACAGAGGATTTCCGCTGATTGCTTTCTGTCGTTTCATCTCTATTCTGCACTCAGTCCCTTGTTTTGTCTTGAGGTCCCTGTTTTCCTGTACCCAACCAAGAGCCAATCAAGAAGTAAAGAGGAGCAAACACGCCCGCCCACTCCCAATTTCCTTTGCTCTGCTGTCTGCCAACCGCAAAGCCGATCGAGACAGAGCCGCTGTCAACTCTTCAACTCAGCTCAGCTGATCGGTTGCCGCCGCCGCCGCCGCCAGATTCCTGAGGCGAAGAACGCGAAGCTGAGAACATGGACGTTAATATCGCCCCACTCCGCGCCTGGGACGATTTCTTCCCGGGTTCCGATCGCTTTGCCCGGCCAGACTTCAGGGACATTTCCAAATGGAACAACCGCGTGGTGAGCAACCTGCTCTATTACCAGACCAACTACCTGGTGGTGGCTGCCATGATGATTTCCGTTGTGGGGTAAGTGGGGTCCCCCTACCCGGGACACCGATCTGGGGAGAGCACAGAGGGGCCTCGGGGTGCAAGATTCCGGGATGTAGAGAGGCTCTCTGACCGCACTCAGCCCCTGCCCTGGCAATTCTGCAAGCGGCCAAGCCAGTGGAAACTTGTTCGCAGGGCGAGGCCGCGGTAACCTGGGATCCCCTTTTCTGCACCAAGGGCTAAGACTTGAGGGGGCCCCTTGAGGAAAGAGGACGGGGAAAATTTGCCAACCGCCGGGAAGAAAAATGAGAGGTCCCCCACCGCACCGCCCCCCACCCCCCGCCCCCGTGCCAGGATCGGGCTCTTGCTGGAAAGATATTTGTAGCGCCCTCGTCTTTTAAAAATAAGAAGAAAAAGGAAAGTGGTGTAACCCTACCCTGGGGCTGGCTAGGACGGCAGGGTGTGGACCCCGGGTAGTGTAAAAAGGGCAACCAAGTGGCGACGCACTTTGTTGGTTTCTCTGCCTAATGCCAGTCACACTGTACAGTAAAGCTGAGCTTGGGATCAAAAGGGTGGGTGTCTCCTGGTGGCGCATCTCCCATTGTGGGGTGAAGGCTGCCATGACTCTGAGAAGATGGCCTTCTGGCATTTTCTTCCAGCAGTGGCCAGGCGTGGTCACTTTCTCTGCCTTCGCTTCCTAGCCTGGGGTTTCAATGTATCAGAAGTCCTTTTCAATACCTGGTACTTACACAGTATCCTGTATTAAGACTGCGTGTACACCTGCTTTCCTAGAAACCACCTTTCCTTGTAGTTCACCCTTTAAGAAATGCTTCTCTCGCTTATGCAGGATGGGTGGTGATATTCTCAATCTTGCTGATTATCTCCTACGCATCTTTAAAGAAAAAGTCACCCTCAGACTTTATAAAGGACACACTTGCCCTTAAATGTCTGACATTTCTATTTCAGGGCAGAGGTAGAGGGAAGAAGGAGCAAGCTGGCTTGGGAGAAAAGGGAGAAATTCACACTTGAACGGTGTGGGAAAGGGTGAACAGGGTGGCTTTTCAGTTGGCTCACAGTTAGTTGGCTTATACATTGAGCCACCTCTCTGTGCCTGGCCCCATGCCAAGCTCCAAGCACACCAAGATGAATCAGACTTGAATTCTGGCCCAGGGGCTCCTGGCAGTTGTTGAGAAGCTAAAGGAGCAAACACACAGCACAGAAGAGAGGGGGAGACTTCACAGTTTCTGAGTATGGTTCACAGCAGTCACCCCCATGCCGAGGTGGAAGCTCACATGTGGGACTCTATAGACGACAGTACAGATCCTTCTTCTGCATTGCTTAAGGAATTCTTAAGGAATTGCACTCTGGGAATGGCTTGGTGTGTAGGGGGCACAGGCTCTGAGTGGACTCGGAACTAGTGTGGCAGCCAAGGTACAAATTAGTCAGGGCGGGGTGGGGCAGGCCCAAGGCCTGAGGCAGCTGCCTTCTGAACCTTCCCTCAGCTCTGTGCTTCAGGCTGCTTTCCTGGATCACTAAATTTCTTTCTTTCTTTTTTTTTTATTGAGACTGAATCTCGTTCTGTCACTGAGGCTGGAGTGCAGTGGCGTGATCTCGTCTCACTGCAACCTTTGCCTTCCGGTTTCAAGCAATTCTCGTGCCTCAGCCTCCTGAGTAGCTGGGATTACAGGCATGCACCACCGTGCCTGGCTAATTTTTGTATTTTTAGTAGAGACGGGGTTTCCCCATGTTGGCCAGGCTGATCTCGAACTCCTGACCTCAAGTGATCTGCCCGCCTCAGCCTCCCAAAGTGCTGGGATTACAGATGTGAGCCTCTGTGCCTGGCCAAAAATTTCTTTTTAAAAATTTTTATTATTTATTTACTGTTGAGACAAGGTTTTGTTCTGTTGCCCAGGCTGAAGTGCAGTACTGTGATCACAGCTCACTACAGCCTCAACCTCCTAGGCTCAAGCAATCCACCTACCTCAGTCTGCCAAGTGGCTGGGACCACAGGTGCATGCCACAATGCCGGGCTAATTTTTTTTTTTTTTTTTTTTTAGAGATATGGTCTCACTGTGTTGCCCAGGCTGGTCTTGACTTCTGGGCTCAAGCCATCCTTTCACCTTGCCTCTCAAAGCACTGAGATTGTAGGCAGGGGCTACCGCGCCTGGCCAAAAATGTCTTTAAAACACAATAAGTAGTAAATAGGTTTGCATCAGTTGTTTTTTTTCCCCCTTTCTCTTTGCAGTGAAGCAGGAGGGCATCTTATCTGGTGATCTAGTTATGGAGGTATTTTCTTGAGGTAACTTAGATGTGGGGCAAAGTTTGACACAGACCAATAATAATTTAAAAAAAAAAAAGCTTATTTTTTTCAAACATGTATGCTGCCCAGACAAGGCACAAGCTCAGGCAGCCTCGCTGCCTTTGATGGAATCCATTTTTCACTGTGAGGGCCAGGGGCCAGCCCTTTGACTAAATATAGCTCCGTCGGTATTGTGCCTTAGGCCACTAACTCAGGTGGTTTAGGGGTGTTGGCCCTCCTCATTTTCCTTTCAAATAAGAGTTGTCGGTTGTCAATAAAAATTTTGAAGTGAAAAGTGAAAAGTATCCATAAAGTTTTAAAAACTTATGCTTATTTTTAAAAACTTACAAAAGATACAGGCTAGTAGTAAAGGTTCATTTGAAAATTATGTGGATAAAATGTGAAATTTTCTTCATACTTCAGTAAAAGTTTGGTATATAACCTTCAACTGTTTTCTGTGTAACTGTAAACCCAGTCAGTAGTTTTTTCCACCAATTGTTATCTTTTCTTTCTTTATAATTTAATAATATAAATAAAGATTTATTGACTGCTCTGTGTGTCAGATACTTTGCAATGTATTTTACCTGCATTATGTCATAGAAGCCAATTTTTAAAAACTGTTATTTTTTTAAATTATTAAACCTGAGGTTCAGAGAGGTTAAATGATGTACTCAAAGTCACAAACTTAGGCTTGTGCCCTTAACTACTATTCTGTCTTGCTATGAGTCACGAGGAAGAAACCAAACATCTTCAGGGTTAGGGAGCTTCCTTGATTCCAGAACACTTCTCATTCTAAAGAGAACTATCCTCTTTCGGTGATGCTAGTAGATGGGTAGGTCAAAGCAGTGCTGAAAGCTGTTCATCTGGATCCTCCACAGACTTCTCTCTAGTTTCTCAGAGTATCTTGGTAGAGCGTATGTGAAAATGTGACCTGGATAAAAGAGTGTTCAACAGTGGTTCCATCCCCTGCTGGTGAGGAGAGCCTCAAGGGCATTGTAGGAGGGCTGTAGCCTCAGCTCTCCAATGTTGAAAACTGGCTTAGATGAGGATAGAGAAATCTTTAAGATTTCAGGAAGGGTGAGGGAAGAACATAGCAAATGCTGTCTAGATCCAGAAACATTGGAAAAAACTGCCCATACCAAGATGGAGATTAAGAGGGATTAGGATAGAGATAAATCTGTGTTTGAACTTCTGATCAGAAGAGATTGAATTATTTAAAAGGAATAGCGTGAATAACAGGTTAGGAAACTTGCATTTTGCTGGAAATGCCTTTGGATCCTTTACATTAAGAAGGAAAAGTGTCTAAGATTGAAGTTGCCATAGCTTACCTTCTGCATCCTTGATGTGAGACGTTTTGGGATAAAGATATTCTTTTCACATCACACAAAACATTAGAAGTCTCCACCGTGATCTTCAAAGTAAAAAACAAAGGCAACACCTAATTGCACTTGCAATTTAAGTATTAAGCATGTGATACATTCTACTTGTGGACGAGAACTTCTATATGCTTAATAGAATGCCAAATGATTTGAGCTGGAGAATTCTGTTCACTGTGTGTGAGCCATGGAACAGCAGCATCCTTCACCTGAAAGCTTGTCAGAAGTGAAGCATCTCAGGCCCCATTTCAGACCTACTAGGCTAGAATCTACATTTTAACAAAAGTCTCAGATGATTCATAGGTACATTAAAATCTGAGAGGCACTGGATTGGTCTGGCTCAAAAGAAAATTTAAATAAATATATCTATATGCCCAGGTGTCACCTTCCATGATTCAAAATGAATAGTTCTTGGCAGGGTCCAGGCATCTGTTGTTTTTTTCTTTTTCTCTAACTTCCTAAGTGATTGTGATATACACCCCTAGGAGAACCACTGATCCTCTTGAACCCTGTAACTTTCCGAAATATAAAAGCTTGAGGTCACAGGCTAATTGGAACTAAAGCTGCTAATAATAGGAAGTTAAATATTTTTTCCATTTTAAGCCATATTGCAAATTTTCTAAAGCTCTTGATTAACCAAATTCAACTGCATCCCTGACTCTTACAACATTTGCAATACTGTTGCTGTCTCATTCTAAAAAGTTCTTTCCTGGATGGGTGTAGTGGCTCACACCTGTCATCCCAACACTTCAGGAGGCAGAGATGGGAGGATTGCTTAAGGCCAGGAGTTTAAGACTAGCCTGGACAACATAGTGAAACCCTGTCTGCAAAAAAAAAAATTCTTTTCTGCCGTTAGAACTCATATTTTCTGGTGTGGCCTTAGAATCACCAACCACAAACAGAATTTGCAACATATAAAAATGCCTCTGCTGCTTCTCCAGCAAGAGAGGTGCATTTATGCTTGTGTATATACATTTGTGCCTCCCCATTTACATAGAACCATGTAGCTGCTGAAGGAATGAACCCGTGTTTTCTCAGTTAAGTAGCTCCTCACCATGTGGCCCGATCATTTGGCCTATGGAGATTTTGTAGGAGGGTAAAATTGACAGCTGCCACTTTATGCTTTCAGTTACTCAAGATTATAAGGAGTTTCTGGAAGGCTGGTAGTTCTAAGTTTGAAAAGAGCATTAGTGTAATCTTTTCAAAACGAATATAGCTCAGTGGCTCTGTAATATGTTCTAGGCCTGTGGCTCCCAGCATCTGGTTTTATGAAATGTTCATATTGTTTATAGCTTTAAATGCTGCAAAGATGAAGAACCAAGTTTCCAGTTGGTAGAGGAAAAAAAGGGTAAGGCAACCCTGGG